CAACACCCTAGCGACACACATAACAACGCTCTATCCTCACAACTAGAGGAACACTAGAAATCTCTCACAAGGAACCCTAGGCTAGCAGGCATCATAATCAGGCACTCATCAATAAATCCTGAAGATCCCTAGCCTAACTCTAGCATGCTGTTCTATCAAAGCTCAATAAAACAATTGTCATGTATGGTATTTTGGGGTTACTTACTGGCTCCGGCTGATCGTACCTCCGCGTCCTCCTTTACTTATTTTGAAAACCATTTTAAATTCTCTTTTTGAAAACTCTCCTCGATTTGAGACTGGAGTCACACAAGTGTTCCTCCAATTCACTCAAACCAAGGCTCTGATACCAACTTGTAACATCCGAAAAACAACCAATTTAAAATTTTCAAAACAACCCGATTTTCATTAAAATGTTTACAAAAAGGTTTTCAATACAAGTCATTAAGTATTCCCAGAATCACATTGCTACAAAATCATGAGGAGCGGTACGATCGCGCCTTCGCCTTGCCACAGTCTCCTGAAGAACCTGAAAAACATTAAACCACAACTGTAAGCCCGAAAGCTTAGTGAGATACCCCCAAAATACCAACCACGTATACGCCCTTCCAGGCTACGACCTTCCGGTCCAAAACATATAAAACATACATAACATAACAGAACATAGAACAGCCATGCATATCGGGTCTACTGTGTGACTGGTCCGCCGTATCGGGCCTTCAGTCCATCGGATCCATCCTCCAGGTCTAGTCATGTCCTTCGAGTCTACAGTGGGGTTGGTCCGCCCGCATCGGGCCTTCAACCCACCTGGTCCACTCTCTGAGTCTACAGTGTGACTGGTCCGCCCGCATCGGGCCTTCAGTCGGCCTGGTCCACTCTCCGAGCCTCGGCACGTCTGGTCCGCCCTCGTGGGGCCTACAGCCTATCCGGACCGCTCGCTGGGCCTTCGGAACAACCGGTCCGCCCTGGGTATCTTGGCCTACAGCACAAAGCAGGACCCGCCTCAACCCATCTCCAGTCCAAACAACCATGTGCACAAAACATACATTCATATAACAGTCATAGTCAACAAACCGAGCAAGCAGATCACATAGCATATCATTACCCTAACCGGGTTACCGACCTAACCGGTCACTAGCATAGCATCACTCTGTATATCGGGAAAACTGACCTTAGCAAGGCCTCCTAGCATGTACCATCCTAGCTACCAGGATGCAGACACATCAAACAATAACATAATAACCATAACCGAATCTCAATACAATAAAGGGCCGGCCTTGGTGCCTTAGACCCTGTTGATATAGTGAGGATAACTCACCTCGAAACTGCCGGCTGAAAAGATAAGATCCCGCTGCTCCGAACTCTGACACGAACTCCTCCACTAAACATCAAAACATACAACTCAATAAATACCCTTAATTACCAAAATACCCCTGGAAGACAACTGGTCAACCTTGGACGAGTCAAAGTCAACCCCTGACTGACCCTACTCGCCGAGTCATCCCGATGACTCGCCGAGTCCTTATGCTCAGAACTTCCCTCAATTAGCGACCCAACTCGCCGAGTCACCCCAAGACTCGTCGAGTCCAACAACTCTGAGTCCACTCGCACCCAACTCACCGAGTCATCCCTTGACTCACCGATTCATCGACTCAACCAGAAATATTGGGACTTCCTCGACAAGACTCGCCGAGTCCAAATGGACTCGTCGAGTCCAAGGCCATCTTCAACCTACTCGCCGAGTTGTTCTTCCAACTCGTCGAGTCCCAGGCCATCTTCAAGCAACTCGTCGAGTCCACCCATGTGACTCGTCGAGTACCACCGGTCTGAATCCATACAGAAGCATCTCAGGCCATGCAATTGATCCAAAACATAGATCCAACCTCCTACAATCCATCCATCACGTAAAGTGGCAAACTTTACGTGAATCTAACGAGATCTAAGCCATATTCACCTTAAAACCAAGGTTTGGGACATGGTGGCTTCACTAAGCACTCAAACACAGGAACTTTAATGCACTCTAGGCCTTCAATATTCCAGATCTGAGGTAGCAACCTCAGATCTATCCTCCAAACTCCAAAACATTCCAAGACATACTCCCCACAAACCCCAAAATGATGAAACTAGGAATGCACAGCCTAAGGACAAAGATATTACCTCCAAAAGATGCCTCAATAGCAGCCAAACTCGAATCCAAGCAGAGCCCTTTGATCCAAGCCACTTCTCCTTCAAGATCTCTTCAAACAACACCTCTCCAAGCTCTAATTTGCTCCACCAATGATCTCTCCACGAATTTAGGGTTTCTGGAACTCAAGGGGGGGATAAGGGAGGCTGTGGAGGGGTATAATGCTCTTTATATAGGGCTCAACCTTCGAAAATTAGGGTTTTCTCCATACAACACCTACTCGCCGATTCCATCCTAGGGAGTCGCCGAGTAGGCCACTTGACACGCGACCATAGCCGCGACCTGACTCGCCGAGTCTATCCATGGACTCGCCGAGTCGCCCTCCGAAACTTACACTTTTAGCCCTTCAACTCTACTCTTGCGATTCCGGGATGTTACATAAAGTAGCCTTCTACCAAGGCTTAACTGTTTTGTATACTCGTTTGTTGTAAAAGTGTGTAATTTCCCAAGTGTAACTATCATATAACAAAATATAGTTTGTACATTAAAGTTTAAGTGAAACAATCACTAAAAGTATGTAATGGGTAAATTATTGTAGTACTATAGTGTTGTATTATAGGAACTACTGCTGTACTAACTACCTTAAACCGGATTTATATTAAGGTATCATGTGATAAATTGCACCATACTATCGACTGGTAACAACGACATACGAATGGTCGTAATAACGGAATGATGTTTGGCAACCGCAGACCTGCAGGTCCGGCTGTAGCTAGCAGCAAGGTGTAGGATAGTCAATCCATTATAGATCTACACACAAACTGACGCTCTCCCTCCAATAGAATTCTGGCTACAACTCGGGCCATGACATTTAAGGCATGCTCCGATACAGTGGATCATAATTGTTAACATATTCTTGTATAAGTAATGTAATGAACTGTTCTAGTATAGTTGTATATGTTCTTCCTCTAATATAGTTGTATATGTTCTCTGTCTAGTATAGTTGTATATGTTCTCTTTCTTGTATAGCTGTATAAGTACTCGTAGTAATAAGTATTGACTCATAAATGAACTGACTCGTTTATCTAGAAATTGTAGTAGTATGATCCTATGTTATCCCGATGGTAACTTACTGATGATGTACTGATAAGTATGAATATGGAAGTACTTTTATGTCTAAACATGTATATTTGATATATAACTAATATTGAAACGACCTTCGGATGACTACCCGAAATCCCACCAGACCACATCTCAAGCGCGAAAACGAAATAGGGTGGATGGCCTTCCTAAGCCCTTTAAACATTTCTTATATATCTATACATATATGGGCATGCAATTTATAAGAAGTAAAACAAAGTTGAATAAAAGCATTTAATAAGTAAACGAGTTTGTAAAACATTTTGAAGTAAAACAGTTTGATAAACAGTTTGAACAGTGATAAAATCATTGGTTTTCTAGTTATTAAACGCATGTGATTAATGTAATCACATGTGATTGATGTAATAACTATAAGTATTTAACTTGTATCCCCCCATAAAGTATTTAAAACATTTAAAAGCATTTCAAAGGTAAATTAAAGGGGTATGAACTCACTTGTGGTGAGTGGATTGGATTGAAGTATCGGATACCGTGCTAGGTGGCAAATGGAGACTTGTTCACACGCACAAGCCTAGTTATCATATAATGAGCATATATATAACTAATTAGCCCAATAATAACTTAATAAAATAACTTGGGACACTAAGGAACATGTAAACACTTTGTATAAGTGTTATAGGTCCTAAGGGTTGCTTCTAGGTTGTTATGGGACAAGGCTAAAGGGGTTTAAAGCTTCCAAGGACCTTGTGTAAGTGTTTACTACTCATTAAACTCCACACAAGGAGTTTACGGTCGTAAACCCTTGAGTTTACGGCCGTGAATTCAAATCTTGGTGGTTTTTGGTGTTTTGAAGTGTTTTTTGATTTCTAGAATAAGCCTTGCTTGGTGGTTTAATCCTTTGGGTAGTTTAGGGCCTTAAAATACTCCTTTGAGGAGTTTACGGCCAAAAGACCATTTCTTTTGGAGTTTACAACCGTAAACTCTCAAGGGATGGGTGTTTTAATTCTTTCAAGTCCCTTGCACAAGTAGGATAATTTCTAGGCTTTTGTTTAAGGCTAAAGAGGACCCTAGGCACACTTTGGTGCCCTTACTTAGTGTTTACGGCCCAAGAGTAATTCCTTGGCCGTTAACTCCCTTTAAGGGGTCTTCTTGATGTTTAAAAGTCCATCAATTAGCTAGGATTAAATGGGTATTAAAGTCTAAAGCATTAGGAGTAATTAGGACACATTTTGTCCCTTGAATTTGGAGTTTACGGCCTAAGACTTTCTTGGGCCGTGAACTCCTAAATCTATGTGTTGTTGATTGTTTTCTAGCCTTAAATGTACATACATATCATCCTAAGCTAGTTACATAACAAGGAAATGGGACTAGATGGCCTTTAAGCTTCGTTTTGGAGTTTACTCCTCAAGAACGTTCTTGGGCGGTAAACTCCCGAATCTCATATATTTGACATACAATCTATGTTATTAAGCATAAAACAAGAATTAAAACACAACTAGGGAAGTGTACTCACGATTTGGGATGAAAACCTAAAGATCTGTGAGAGAGAAAATGGCTTTTCTCTAGTTGGAAATGTGAATAATGAATGAATTTAGTTCAGAAATCTATTTATAGTCCTGAAATATTTTTGGCAGAAATATTTTTATTCCGGAATTGATTTCTAATATATCAGGGTGTTGGAATAAAAATGTTGCACAAACCGTAGTGCATCCACTCTCCTGATTTTTACTGAAGTGTAAACCCTAAATTACTCCAACTTATACGAAAAGTCTGAAAATCAACTATGATTGTTATAACTTCTATTGAAGTGATATCGTTTGTATAGAATGGAAATTTCGGGTTGTGACATCCATCTTCTGATTGAGAGATGCAAATTCGGTGCAAACAACTGCAATTTGTTCTCCATGTCTGGTCGAAGCTCTTGAAGCTTAAAATTCACATCTTCTCTCACCTTTTTCACATCTTGAACAAATAAGACATGACGTTCCTTTGCCACCAATTTTAATTCCTTCAAATCACCTTCAAAAGTAGATTTATGAGAGTTTACCCTCATCTCATTGCTATGATCACAAATATCAATTTTCTCTAGGAGACGAGACTCGGAATCTTTTATCATTCCTGAAACCTTTGAAGTAATCCTCCATTCACGTAATTTTAACAGACCATCAACTTCTAGACTAGTCATTGAATTTCCTCCCCCAAGATCTGCCTGAGATTGAAGAATTGAATTGAGCTTTGTATTCAATATCTTGAACTGCTTCATGGTCATTAGCATGTGATCTAGGAAATCAGTTTCTTCGTATTCAAACTCCAAATTTTCAAATGTTCCTCCAAATCCTTCGGATTCATGCTCGGTTTCCATAGAATCTTGAATTGGTGAATTTGTCATGGGTGGATTAGTGGATTGTGAAGAAAAAAGAGATGTAATTGGTTGTTTGATAATGTTTTTGAAGGTAGGAGAATCAATGGTGGAAGTAGTAGGAATGATAGGTGTGAGTTGTGGAGGTAAAAAACAACAATATCTGAGGTAACATCTAAAACTTTACCTTGGTCAGCCTTATGCGAAGCATCCTCACCCATTGTGACATTTGCATCCGTATGAGATACGTTTACAAGAATGTCAGAAGCTCATCAGAAACTAACTTGGAAACCGAATCTTCGGGTGGTATGACATCGGTTGGTGCAGGATAAGAAGATTCTTTGTGAATATTGGCTTCTGGAGTTTCTGGAATGGTTTCATTTTCATTAGCAGTAGACTCAGAGGAGATGATCATTTTACTTTTCTTCTTCTTCTTTAAGATGTGATTGGCCATATCAGTTGCCCTTCGTTTCTTAGAAGATGGTGAAGCAGGAGCAGGAATCTCACGAAAGAGAATTCCTTGATGAGAAACCTGTGGCTTTCAGACAACATTTGTGAGTGGAGATCGACTCTTATGTTTAGATTTCATTTTGATTATGTGAAAGACACCAGTCTTCGAATGAATGATTTCCTTTTGAGTTGATGGTGTATCAGCAATGGAAACTTCGGGTTTGATAGGCTCTGATTTTGTAATCGGTAACTTCTTCGGACTCTTTGTAGATTTAGACTCCTTGACTTGTTTCTCAAATGAACCAGCAGTAGTCTTCTTCGAATGTTTGGACTTCATCTCTTCTTCTCTTGCCAAAAGAACTCCAGTTTCAACAGTGGTATCGATTGTTTGCAAGTAAGTCACCAGAAATGTATTGGTAGGATCAACTCGTTTAAGCATGGCATCAGAAATACGACCAACAACTGGAAACTCTTCAGTACCATCAGTTGCATCCTTCGGACAACTATACACATGGAACACAGCTTTTTCTTCATCTGCAAGAACCAGAATCCCCTCCTTCTCATAGAAATATTGTAGAATCAAGCTCCAGTATTGAGCACACGAAAAATGCCACGAAGAGCATTCGTGTTTTCAATACTCTTCAAGAACTCTTTCCATAACTAAGTAGAGTAATCGACTTGAACTTCATAATATAAGTCGGCAACCATGGCATAAACATCCATTCTCCCCTTGTCCAAACCAACGGTTCTTCCAGTTAAACATCGCAGGAAAATACCAAACAAAAAATTCCAAACACTTGGAAGACTCGATTTCTTGAAATCACTTATCTTTGACAATTGGAGTTGATGACCCATTTCACTGAACATATACACAATTTGTGGGAAGGTAAAAGTGACATATGGTGGAGAATTAGGGATATTGAGAATCTGACAAAAAAGCTTCTTTGAGAGTCTAACCTTTTTATCAGTCACCAGATTAAACATAATTGCATCCAATGCTTTTGAATAAGTAGCGGTTGATCCAGCTTGAGACAGCCATGAAAGAGGAACAGAGAATGAGTTGAACATGGCTTTAGACAATACAGAGCTTTTCAAAGCAATGATGAGCATCTTAAGTTCTTCAGGATATATAGAGAAACATTTGCCTCGACATGGTAATTTGTACCCTGAATCTTCATTATTGGCAATGAGGTAACATCATTTATGGTGTGACAAAGAATTGCATCAGGATTAGTAGTTGCCATGTTTGCCTTAATGGAATAGTAACCGTCGGAACCCTTCGGATGGAAGTAAGTCTCTTTTACTATAGGGTTTCAAAGTTAAGTCATTTGCCAGATTCTTAAACCATCATCCTGAGTTGTTGTTACTCAGAACCTCAAGGATTTCGTATGTGTAGTGTTTCAAAGAATATAGATGAGAAGCAATTAATTTTTTTTGGATATTCAATGATGTCAAAAATTCAAATTGACACGAAGGCAGTTAAAACCCCGGGCAAAGATTGATTCGTTAATTATCAAGAGTGATAATCAACAGCTTGTGTATGTTCCCATGAGTTACAATCGAATACTTGTAATGAAGTATCGAAGGGCTTCTTTTAAAAGGCTTTTGAGGTGGTTTAATTAATTACATTACATATCAACCTAAACATAAGGTGAGTAAGTGTAACAGAAATCACTTGTTTGATCAGTGTAGTCAGTGACAAGTTTGCTTTGAAAAACTTTTAAGTAACATGGAATTTCTGATAAAATTCACACTGAAATCATATTCAAGAAAAAAAAATTGTATTCTGGATCATGTTGGGTAACAAACATCGTGGGCTTTGAATGTGTCACACCCCAAAACCGATAACGGTGGAATACGTTTCAGGGTGGATGACGTAGTGTACAGTATCATCACAATTGTATAATAGTAAAAGCAAGAAACATACAACCATTTCATTTACATAATAAGTGTATTTACAAGTGTGTTTTGTAATATTTGACAAATACCAAAAGTAAACAAAAATAAGAGATGGGTCTTGCATGCTCCATCTTCTCCAAAAATGTTGCAGCTGTACATGTCTATCTTTGACCTGAAGATACAAGTTATTTTGAAAAGAATATCAGCATAAAGCTGGTGAGTTCATAAGAGTTTAGTGTGAATTCGTGTATAAAAAGCATTAGAATCATTAGTACGAAAACTGAAGTTTGTAATCATAAGTAGTGGTAAAACCTAGAAAATCCCATATTTTCCAGAACTGTGTAGTAAATGAAATCTTTAAGAAATATGGTGTTTCTATCTTTGAAAGCCATTTATCATAGAAGTGTAATAGTGACTTACCATTACGTAAGGCAATATAGTGAGTTATTCTTGGAGTACATAATAGTGGTGCAGCATCCTTTAGTATTAGATACTTATTTACTTCGGGATATTACTTCATCTTTCTTTTAGTATTTTAGTGTGGTTATAGTGTCTTTCTTGTATGTTACCAATAGTGTGAGTAATAGCGGACCCTCATGACCTTCCCAGTCATGCATATTGTGGTAGAGTAAAGGCATCCCTGGACCTGAGCGGCTCGAACTAAAAGTTATCAGTCGGGATGTAATAGCGTCTACCCCGTATAGATCTATACATATAGTGTCGTCTTCCTATCGGAAAACTTCGGGCGTAGTGTGTAGCGTATAGAGTATCTCGTAGTGGGTTAATGAATTATCTCATGATTAGTACATTCTCTTGTATTATAGTGTAGTAGTCTTTTGTATAACTTGTATTGTATTCTCTTATTAGTGTATTGATTCATAATAGAGAGAATTATAGTAGTGTAGAGTAGTAGTTAAAACAAGGGATAGAGTCCTTAACTATACCTATTATAGTTAAATTAGTGTGTGTGGTTCTAGTCAGGTTAGTGATTTAGGAATCTAATGAAATAAGAAGTACTCGTAATCCGTACTAATATACGAGATATATAACTAAGAAATCAATGACAGTCGGACGGAGAACCACTACCCTAAGCCTACAATCAAACAAGAAACTTGAAATAAGGCGAGCTATCGGTCCTAAGTCCTCTAAGTCTTACTTACATAAATATATTAGTGTGGTTACATTTTTATAAGGAGTTTTATTAAAAAAAAGTGTTGTATAAAAGAAACATTTAAAGCTTGTTTGTTTATCCAAGATAGTTTTGAAAACAATTGATTTATTTATAAAGCATAGTGATAAATCACATGTGATTTGAACTACAGGTTGTGAATCACATGTGATTAATTCTGTAATCTGAAAAATTGTCTTGTATAACTTTTCATAAACATGTATATTCAACTTGTATCTCCCCCTAAAACATATAAAACATTTGAAAGGTTCATTAAAGGGGTATGAACTCACTTGAAATCGCGTAAATCGGGTGAATCGGGTAAATCGGGTAAAAGTGTCGGTTGAGCGTTTTGTTCCAAATAATGACTTGTACACCTTTAGGACCCTAATGTCATATGAAAATATGTGTTTTACAATAAATTAATCATTTTATGCTTTCCGTTTAAGTATTGAGGCATTCTAGCATCAATTCGGGGTTTTAGGGCCTAGAAGGGGTTCCCGGGAGTGGTTTAAGGCTAAGGAGGGTTTACGAAAGGGTCCATGAGCTCACTCCCTTGGAGTTTATGGCCTAAAGGCCACTCCTTGGGAGTTTACGGCCGTAAGCCCCCTAGGCTTGGCCGTAAGCTCATGTGGTTTTCCAAATTGCTTGTTTAAGGCCTTATTTCACTTCCTTACTTTAATGGTATGTGTCTTGGACCAATATGGAGGGATTAAACTCTTGTTTTGTGACATTTTGGGGAGTTTACGGCCAAGACTTGTTCTTGGGCCGTAAACTCCATTAAATCCTTCAAGGTGGATGTTTAAATGGTACAACATGTTCTCATTCACCTTAGGTAAATCCTAGAAGGCCTTATAATGAGTTTTGGGACAATTTGGCATGAATTTTGGGGAGTTTACAGCCCAAGAATATCCTTGGCCATAAACTCTTCATTTGGCCTTAAAATGGGAAGTTTAGTGGTACAACACACATCCTAAGGCCTTAGCTAAATTCCTTACATGCATTTGAGGGGTTTTGGGACTTGTTTGACACAAAAACATGGGTGTTTACGGCCCAAGCTTAGCCTTGGCCGTAAAATCCTCTTTTTGCCATCAAATGATGTTGTTTGATGCATTTAAGCCTTCCTTGTTGTCAAGTCTAATTTACCAAACAGCCTAGATGATATTTTGGGACTTTAAACAAGGGTTTTTGGGGTGTTTGAGGTGTTTACGGCCTAAGCACAAGCTTGGGCCGTTAGCTCCTTTTTAAGCTTCAATTCTTTGTGTTTTAGTGTCCAAACTCCCCTAGGTTTATGCCTTAATTAGTCCATAAGCTTAAAGGAAGGAAAAACAAGGTCTTTGGCATGATTTTGGGGGTTTACGGCCTAAGGGGCTTCTTAGGCCGTAAACTCCATTTTTGTTCCTTGTTTTCTATGATTTTGGACTCTAAATGCAGTAAAGTATGCTTAGATTAAGATAGGGAATGAATCCTTACGTTTGGAAGTCGGAAATTCGCGGATTTGGGGTCGATTTCGGGTCTAGAGAGAGAAAGTAGTGAGAGAGAGGTGAAAGTGGGGTAAAAGAGTTCAATTGTAGTGTCCAATCGTTTTTATATGTCTCGGGTATTGTACCCGATACACGGCTACCCGATGCTAAAGTTTAACGGTGTTAAAACTTTTTACCCGGGTGATGTGGTTGAAAGGTAATATAATTCTATTTAGTTAAATGGGGTTGACATTTACAAGTTATAATTAACTAGATATTTGTTTATTGACGACCCAACCAATACCGAGAAATAACATATAGTGACGTATTCCGTTAGTGAAAATAGGGTTTATAACGGCAATATATTTGGGGTTGTCAAAGAATGTTTGTTCAAGACCACCCATAAGAAATGAATATGATTTGGAGTTTCGAATGAAGGTACAAAAACAAATGTTTTGTTAAAACCTGGAACATACTTCCCCGTCAATTCCTTAAAGATAGATTGATTTAGGTTTCACTTTCATCACGTTATCATGATGTCTGATCATAAACACATATTTGTGATATGTCTAGGTTTCGATTGGTTTGATCAGAAACCTCTTGGAAATATGTCTTCGTGTGTGATAGTGTAAGAATTTTGAGATGAAAAAGATTGGTATAAGAAAGAACATGTACCTCTATTATTTTGGACCAAACAGTAAACTCTTAACTCATGTGAGAAGAGTGAGGTAGTTCAGAAGACCAATATGAATGTAAGCCTAATTGGGATGAAATCTTCGTATGAAAATTTCGTTAAGGCTTTCGAAC